AAGGTGTTTGTTCAGGGCAGACGTCTTGAAAAAGTTAGAGTGAATCTTAATCATCATCATCACAGAAAGACCGGGCTGAGCACATACCGTTAATCTATCGAAGATCTCATCTCCCTCCTTCTTGGGAGGTTTCTTGAAGATTTTCAGGTTCTTGAAGACTTGAGGATCGACCTCAACTTCGTCATAGAATCGAATACTGTCCTTACCCAGGAAATCGAAGATAACTTTGTTCGGCGGCTTGAGGGTGACGTTCTCATATTTCAGAGAGCAGCATCCGACAGTTTCAGCCTCGTCCTCACCCTTCTCATTACCCGCACGAAGAGCAAACTGGTCAATGAGATAGACAGCTGTTGCCTTCTGGCGTTCAACCATCAGCTCATGTTTCAAGGCCTTTTGATAATCCTTGCGAATGCGGTCGATGTGCTTCTTGAGTTCACGCGCCTTCTCGAACTTTTTGTAGTCGCTCTGGCCCTTGACGTCAGAGTTGGCAGCAAGCATCACATACTTGTAATTGCCGTTGATGTTCTCCTGCCACATAGCGAGCCATGTTCCTTCTTGATCGTGCTTGACCTCCTTCCAGCGATGACCTTCAGGTGGCGGGGGAACAGGGGCATCTTTTCCGATGTTGATAGTGATCTGCTCCGGCTGGACGCGTGCCTTCACACGACCAGTCTTAGGGTGTTCACCACGGCCACGGAACAGGGCCGGCGGTTCAACTCGGAAATTGCCAACCTTCTGCTTGCGACCGTCMCAGAGACAGTACATATATGGCGCTTCGGCAGCATCTTTCTCCGCCTTTAGACGCTTCTTCTCAGCCGGAGGAAGATTCTTCTTCTCAATTCGTTTGGCCTCGTAGTAAGCAAAGATCGGCTGGAAATCGCATTTAGAAAACTCCTTGATCTCAATTTTGTTGCCCTTGGGATCCTTCGCTCCACCTGTCTTTTTCAAGACCTCTTTGAAATCCATAAAGAAGTTCTTCTGGAAGACCGGATTTTCCACATGTTGAGTCGCATTCAGCATGCTACCGAAAAATCCCGCCACTTCTTCGGCTTCGGGGTGAAGAGTGACCGGAACGCCGTCGTACTTCATCTTGACATCGCTTGGTAGAGGCTCGTAGGGAGGAGGGAAAACAACGCCGTTGTGTTCGAGGGTCGTCCACTTGATCGTCCCGTCACCATTGGTCGGATCCTCCCACCATCTGTACTCTTCCTCCTCTTCTTCACCTTCCTCGGCTTCAGTGCTTTCTTCCTTCTTGACAGGTGTCGCCTTCGTTTTCCCGTTTCTGGCAGAAGCTGCCGGCTCTGCATTAGCTTGTTTGGTTGTCTTCTTGACTGCCGGTTTCTTCTCATCGACAGGTTCCTTCTTCACACCATTAGCCTGTTTCTTCTTGCCGGCAGCTGCCGCCTTTGCAGCCTGTGATGCTTCGTTCTTCCGGCTGGCCCTAGCGTCCTTTGCCGCCATCTGCTGAATTTTCTTCTTTTGGGCCACAAGCTTTCGCTCGATTGGAACATCGGAGTCAGATTCCTCGGCCCCGACAGCGGTTTCGGAAGCCTTGGGAAGCTTCCTTCCATTGAGTGCTAGGGGCACATCTTCATCGGTCTCAGGATCTTCGTGCTTAACGGACGTGCGACGGCGCTTGCTCTGTCGAACGGTCAGACGCTGAAACCAAAAAGCGACAAAAGCGTCGCAACTTAGGGAAAACGAGGGAGACGGCGTAAAGAGGTTCGGCGTACCAAGGGCTGATCTTCGTCCTCGCTGCTCTCTGGCTCCGCATAGGATTTCCTTTGGCCGACACTTGTCCGCGCCTTCCTCTTGCCTGCAATTCCGGCATTGGCGTCCAAAGCATCCTGCATATCAACATCTGTGGCACTTTTGACAGGCCCAAAGCGAAGAGAAACGCCAGGGTCGACAAGACCGTTGGTCTCAGGCGTATCCTCCATTTTCACGTCCGTAGAGGTAGCTGAGGTCCCATGAAAGGTCAGATTGAGTTCAATAATGGTATAATAGTGAGCAGGTTGAGGAATTAAAACAAAGTGAGAAATGAGAGGAAGTAGGGTGGCGCGAAGGGTTGCGAAGAGCCAACACCGTGACGCCACGGTGAAGAGAACTCACCTGCGGAACGACCATTTGCTCTGACAAGTGGGGTATCATCTTCCGAGGAGCTCATGATTGTGAGTCGCTGAGTAGGAAATTGTTGGTCTGAGGATCGAAGATGCAGGTAAACACGGAGCGGAAATACGCAGAGACTCGACACTGGTCGTCTGCCAAGTCTGAAGAACAGAGACGGCGCTCGACCAAATGATGAGGTGAATGAGACCTTGAACGATGAATATGCGAAGAATGAAAGGATGTTGACGGGAGAATATTGTACAATGTCAATGGATTGAGAGGAAAGAGAAGCCCGAGAAGCGCAACAAGGAGGGAAACACAAGAGAAAAGGTTGAGGAGAAGAAGAGAGAGAGGGCCGAGAAGGAATGGAATGGAACCTGGAAAACGATGGTCATTTGGGGGGCCTGAGGCCGCTGCCAATAGGCATGCTTCTCACGTTTCTCCGGACCAGTGACTACTCGTGTTTGGAGTTACATTTGATGCCTGAGGCCATATAAGTCACGAGACTCTTCGGTCAGTGATGCCGCGCACAGCAGTGCGTTGATGCCCTGTACGCTTGTATGCCTGATTGCCTTATGGCCCGGAATTTGGGGGCTTGATTACGCCACGTGATCTACCTTCTCTCTGTGTGTGTTGCGCTTTAGGTCTGTCTGCCTACCCGCTGGGAGTTACTATTGTAGGTTTAGCGCGGCTGGATTCCCGTCCTCCCGGCTGTCGGAATAACGAACAGAAACAGGAGTCGAACCTCAAAAGTGAACGACTTCTCTTCCCGCAATAGCATAGGTTTCTCATCACCTGCCCTCGATTGACCTCGCGGCACTCCCTCCGCTCTTTATTTCGTCCAGGTCAATATTTACAACGTCCGTCATGTTTTCTCGTGCTGTTCGTCCGGCCGTTCGGGCTGGCAGTGCCACTCTGACCCGGTGAGTCCCTCTTCCGGATGGCCATTATCCGACCATACAACGCTCCCCTCCCTGCCCCCAAATGTCAATCGATCATCTAGTCAGCCGTATTATTAGAGCGATGGAATCGGAGACAAATATTTTGTTAGAAATTGGTGGATACGAGATGCTGATATTCTTGGAAGCACTGCGCCCCCCAATGCCGCCAACTTCGCGACTCTGCGTGAAATCGAGGGCCGTCTGAAGTCCATCAAGAACATTGAGAAGATCACCAACACGATGAAGATCGTTGCCTCTACCCGTCTTACCCGCGCCCAGAAGGCTATGGATGAGTCTCGTGTTTACGGCCAGACGTCCAACAAGGTCTTCGAGAACGCCGAAACCAAGCCCCTCGAGGACAAGAAGACCCTGCTCGTCGTTGCTAGCTCCGACAAGGGTCTTTGCGGTGGTATCCACTCCGGTCTCAGCAAGGCTACTCGTCGTATAATCCACGAGAACCCCAACGTCGACGTGGTCATCCTCGGAGAGAAGGCCAAGGCTCAGCTGTCCAGATCCAACGCCGATGCCATCGTCATGAGCTTCGCCAACGTCTGCAAGGACATCCCTACTTTCACTGATGCTCAGGTCATTGCCGATCAGATTGCTCAGCTGCCCACCGACTATGCTAGCGTTAAGGTAATCTACAACAAGTTCATCAACGCTCAGAGCTACGAGCCCACCACCGTTGAGGCTTACTCCGAGGAGGCTATCACCAAGTCCGGTCAGTAACTCCGCCAAGTCTTTCACTGGAGTCATAGTGCTGATTTTGCTCGATTAGCCAACATTTCCACCTTCGAGGTTGAGGACACTGCCCTGGCCAACCTTCGTGAATATTCTCTTGCCAACAGCTTGTACTGGGCTATGGCTGAAGGCCACGCTTGTGAGATTTCGGTAAGCTCTTGAGATTCTAATGAGGAATACAAGTTATCGCTAACGCATAGTCAGGCTCGTCGTAACGCCATGGAGGCAAGTATCTCTTCAGTTCGAGTGACAAATATCGAGTTGACAACTAACTTGCATCACTGTATAGAACGCCTCGAAGAACGCTGGTGAAATGATCAACAAGTACTTGCACTCCTTGCTAAGACCTGGAATTCATACTGACAGCTTCTTAGGTTCCAGATTTTGTACAACCGTCAGCGTCAAGCCGCCATTACCGGTGAACTGGTCGAGATTATCACTGGTGCCACTGCCAGTGAGGACATGTAAAAGCTTTCATAAAGCTTTTGTGGGAAGGAGTCGCCATATGTGTAGACTTACTCATCAATACCTAGACTCTTCATCCGCCTGTAAAATCAAGTCTCAATCCAACTTTCTTTTGTGCATTCTGACATCCTTCTAACACATTGTTGTCTAATGCAACAATTACTATCATGATTAAGGTATCTTATGTCTGATATCGCCGCTGATTCAAACTTTTCCACTTGATATGAACCTTCTTTTCCGTGCTCTACATGACATGGATATTGACTGGACTGTCTCAGGCCTTTTTAAGTTCTGACGCCATGAACATTTCTGACGCATTCAGGTCAAACGAAATCGCTGACTGATGATGTTATTTGTACTTCCTTGTTTGGACTAGAGGAAACACCCACGCTCAATTCACATTTCTCTCCGTTTGCTCTGTTCAAATCCTCACGATTCTATCTTCCCCTTTCTAAAATATGTCCCTGACCACTACACGCTAGCAATTACTACACTGGCGTCTTTCTTAACTTTGAGATCATCTCAATTCCGAAGGATAGTATGCGTATCGAGGGCATCTTTGGGCATCTTTCCCTAGAAGGTCTGGAAGTTGTGTTGTTGTTTGTTGTTTGTTATTGATTCGTACACCTTCAGCCCAAGCTCCTGCCGATTCAGAAATCTGTCACATCATTTCCAAACCAAAAAGGGTGTGACTCGATCGCTCTGTGATAAAAGACGGATGAGGATCGACTTCTCGAGCCCAGAATGTCTCAAATTACCATTGCGAACTACTATGAGATTTTGGGCGTCAAGTCTAACGCAACCAGCAAGGACATCAACACAGCTTACAAAAAGCTTGCTCTCAAGCATCACCCAGACAAGGCAGGTGGCGAGGAAAGCTCTCATATCGAATTCCAGAAGGTACAAGCCGTACAAGCAAGGATACCGAGAACTCAAAAGCAATCGTGCTAACCAAAATCCGACCTTCAGATTCAACAGGCTGTGGAAATACTTCGCGACCCGGTCCGCCGTAGGAAACATGATCTGGAACTCATCAAGCTGGGAAGGATATCCGTGCATGGAACCAATTTCCCGCATGCAGGTAGTTCCCATTGGTCGGCTTCCGCGTTCAAGAGGTATGATGAGAATAGTCGCTATATGTACAGCTATGAGCAAAGTGTACATGTGAGCCCTCAGAAGCAGGAATCTAAAGAGGATATGGAATGGGTTGAGCAGATGCTCAAGGCGGAAGAAGAATTCAGACAGAACCTTGCCAGGCAGCAGGAGATGGAACAGATGCGTGCTCAGATGGCGGCCGAGACGGCAGGACAGGAGGAGAATTGCGAGCTGCATCAGACTGCATGGGAAGAACGTTCGGGTGAACCTTTCGAACAGGATGCTCATCCCGAGGATGTCCTCCAAGAAGAACCCGACTATTTCGACTTTTACGCTGAGAGTATTAACCAGAAGGAGCAAGACATCTGGGATAAGTGTGCACAAAGGGCTCCCCGGGCTAGGGACTACAGAGAGGAAGAATATTATCAGGAAATGTACCAGGAGGGTGACGAACAACAAGAGCTTTATGAGGAGGTTGAGGACCGAGAGGGCTATGAAGAAGAGGATGAAGAGCAACAAAACATCCATGAGGAGGAAATTGAGGACCAACCGGAGCTCTATGAAGGAGTCGATTACGAGAAAGAGGTGTCCAAAGAGGATACTGGAGACCAGCACGAGCTTTACGAGGATGATGAGGACTTGGACGATTCTTCCCTATGTCCTGACGATCAGCTCTCCGAGTATATTCCTTCTGTCTGCGGGTCCGACTTGGACTACGCTACTGCACAAAGCAATGACTCTGAATTCAAGTCTCGCTTTCATATGGAGAGCATCCGTGCGGCATGTTCTGAGCTGTACGACTTTAAGTCGGCTAGTCTGGAAGAGGCACAGAAAGCAGACGACGACACGGCCACATTCTACGACCTTAGCGAGGCAGGCTCATGCCACAAATTCTACAATACCAACCCCTACCTCTCAGAGACTGTAAGTGCCAATGAAGCTGTCCCCCACGACGAGAACGAACAAGAGTCTGAGGAACTCGACAACGACGACAGTGTCAGTCGGTCAAGCCTCCATGATCTCCTATCTCCCTTTGTCCCATACTTTCAAAAGAAGCTTGATGATCCCAGCGGTGGCTACACTGAGGAGGACCTTCGTGTTGAACTTCAAGGTATTGTCATGGAGACCTTCTGCGGCTGGCTCGAAAATATCCGTCTTACCGTTCCAGATGCAGAGATCCCCAGAACAGGCAACGATCCGCAGCAGTGCCTCCATCTTGGGTCTTGGGTCAAGCAATTTGAGCGTCCCGAATGTGGGGTTTGTCATCGCTGGATGCCAATTTACACGCTCATGTGCCCAGGTTGTGGCATTCAGGCCTGTGTGGGTTGTAAGTTTCAGTATGAGAAGGAGTGAGATTTCTCCTCTCTTCAGATATTCTGTTCATTTCTCTGAGTATGTTGTGCTCTACTTTTGTGTCATAGCTGGACTTCTTGTTGATCGGGTTCGCTGACCATCTAGACAATGAATGTTCGCTCTTGATCTGTCATTTTGAGCATGGCTATCGATGGTTTGGCATCACCATTAGGGACCCCTTGTTGGGGAGGAAGAGAGTTGCGTGCTTGCATGCCCGCAGTATCAAATACAAAGATTAGCCCTGGCAGTTGTTTAAATGTAGTTGACCGCTCGAGCTCTTCAAGACTACTTGCGTCGATAACATATTCTGCGTTCATCAGAGACTAGGCTCCCACAATATGAACTTCTAAGGGGTACCCATCCCATTTAGATTTCAACGAGATAGTTGGAGAATCCGTTTTGCAAACAGTATCAATCCATCAGGAACAGTTACAAAGGCTTCCGCTAAACTTAGACCCCTCAAAGCTGTTTCGCTTCAACGTCATGAACCTCCATCGGGGCAGTGTTGGTCAACCGCGCCAGAGCCTCATCGAGACCAATCTCCCGGGAGATCTCAGCCTGACGCTCATAGTCGGAGATGGCAGTGCCCTCCGAGCCGAAGATAACATCCATTTCCTCTGTATAGCTCGTTAGAAACCCCCACATTTCGCGATTACAGAATTAGGAAACTCACCAAGGGACAACTGCTTTGTCTCAGGTACCAGGAAGGCAATGAACCCCGCCCCAAGGAAGGTGAGTATGCCGAAGAAGATGTACGTTCCGTATTTGATATTCTGGAGCATGTCGGGCGTGACCTGCCCGACGATGAAGTTGTTCATCCAGTCTGGCGCGAAAAGAAGTCTGTGTCAGAGCCGAGATATGATACCAAGGAGAGAGAAAGTACTTACTGGCCGAAGCACCCAGTGCCGTGCCCTTTGCCCGGACACTGAGTGGCCAAATCTCAGCGATGATGATCCAGGCGCATGGTCCTTGGTTCTGTCGTTAGCAGTTGTATCATCCTCAGAGATGGGAAGCCTCTTACCCCATGAGTAACCGAAGTGAATGACGAACAACCACACCATGGCGACGGCGGCCCATCCGGCAGCTTTGTGCGTGTCCCATTGGTTTTCGTTCTGGGCGAATATACTCGCGATAATGAAGTGGCAGGCTGCCATTCCGATGGCGCCGACCACCAGGACGGGTTTGCGTCCGAGCTTATCGATCCAGATAACTGCCGGGATCTGTGATGGATGAGTGTTTTGTTCTTCGACCAGGACTGAGATGGGTGCTTTGGAATATGCTTACCGTTGCGATGAACATGACGATACCGACCACACCGGTGGCCAGGAGCGAGGTGGTGTTGCTGCTCATACCGAGCTGTTGAAAGATCGAGGGCGCGTAATAGAGTACAGCGTTGATTCCTGTCCATTGCTATATCCGTTGGTTAGGAGCGAGGCTGACTCGAGCAAATTTTATGAGCTTACCTGGAAAGTCATGGTGACTATGGAAGTTAGCATGTGAGGTTCTGTAACAGTTGGCCATTGCGACTCACCTGTAGCTACCATGACACGTCTGAACATCGGCCAACTAGTGAAAAGGCTAGCAAATCCCGCAGCCTCCAGTTTGATATAGCTCCATGTGTTGGTTCGTTCCAGGTGAGGAAATTTCTCCTTCTCGGTCCGTTTCTCGAAAAGACTCTGCGCTTTGATCTCGAGGAATTCAAGTTGCAGAAGCGGATCGTCAGCAGGCAGGCCGCGAAGACTCATGAGAACCTTTTTGGCTTCGTCTTCTCGATCATGGTGAATGAGCCAACGCGGAGAGAAGGGCATGAAGATCATGCCTGCTCCAAGGATAATGGCCGGCACCAGCTGCAACGCAAGTGGTAGGAGCCATGCCGCATCTTTCTGAGTAGGGCCCGTGCCGCCAATATGATTTGTTCCGTAATTGATCCTATACTCGTCAGGGAAGAAAGTCGGGAAGGAAGTCATTGGTAAAAGGTATGAACCGACCAGAAAGAAACCTGCGAGAATATCGATTAATGTTGGTGTCTCGATAATGACTAGGAAGGATCAATCATCATACTTACCATGATTCCGAACGTGATGGCAAGTTGCTGCAAAGCAACCAGAGAACCTCTAACTTCGGGGGGCGCGATCTGCTGCTAATTAGGCCAGGTCACTGTTGTCGACAGGGTTTCGCTCATACCTCTGCATTGTACATAGGGACACTCATGGAGAGACTAGAAGACCGCATTGTCAGCACCTGAGATTTGGATGTAAGTCTTCATTGAGAACTATACATACCTTCCGACTCCCATACCAGTGATAAAACGGCCACCAAGGATGTGGGATGAATTTCCACCATTGGCGGCAGCCGTTGTCTGGATCACGACTCCGATGCAGAAGATGCCGACATTTGCCAGGATAGTATATTTGCGGGAGATTCTTTCGCACAGGAGACCGGAATATAATGCACCGAACCAAGCGCCGAGCTCGAGAATAGCTATAACAGCTCTTAGTCAATCGTTGTAGCAAGTATGGGAAAACCTCCATCGTACAGGTCAGCCAGCCTTTCTTCGTCTGATTGGTAACAGCGTCGCCCATCTGGTCGAGACCATGTCAGCGGTAGTCAGGTTGACAATAGGAAGAGAGCCCGTACATGCTGTTCGAATGAATACATCGTCACTGTGGTGTACATCAGTATGCCATATTATCCTGAATATGGCAATTCAGCGACTCACAGACGCCAGAGAAGACACCCTGTTCCACAGAAGATAGAACGTCAGCTTTGCCTACAACCCTCTCGTGTCTAATGTTCACGACTCACCTGATTATAACCGTACAAAAGGCTTTTGCACAATCAGCCCAACCTGCGGAGTCAAAAATTATAGTAAGGAATAAACGTACCCTCCCAAGCAAGCGAACATGGCAATTCCGAATACCTTCCGATTCTGAACCAACCCTGCCATACCAGAGGAGCCCTTAAGAGCAGCTTTGCGCATTTGCGCCGCAGCGTCCATCGCTGCTGATGAATCGGCGACACCACCCATAATCGTTGCAATCGTCTGTCTCTTCGAAATGCAAGTACGTATCAGATGAATGAAAGGGGAAAAGGCAGTATCCAACAAGAAGAAGCTGACAGGGTGAGATGGCAGTATTCATAGTCCAATACTGCCATCATTTTGGCTATATTATTCACCCGCATCCTGGACAGTAATTAGCGTTGTATGTTCCCCCATGTGCTACTTTCCAATAGAGACCAGATGTGGCGTTGCCGAGCCAAAGTCGGGTTAAAAGAGTAGGGGTCAAGACTCTGGGGATCTGGGGCTTTACGGGTTCGAGACACTGGACTGATGATCCCTGAGAATCACGAGACAACACATGAGCTCTTGTCAGGATGCTGCCACCAATTACCTGCTGCGGACAAAAGACGGGGTAAGTTCCGGCTGAATGTCCGGATAAAACGCGAGAATAAAGCCTGAGCGGGACCGAACCGTCAATCGTGGTGTAGCATGGCAATGTGACCTGGGGAAGTGCTTAGTGCTTCAAGGCTGATAGCATAAGAGTTTACGGCCAAAGCTTGGGTGGTAGGGAGAGAAAAAGCCACACTGGACGCCTACTCTCCCTTCTCGCGACTAAGGCCTTTCCGGTGACTAGATAGTAGAAAAATCCAAGGGAATTCAGGCTGTTTAATGGCTGGAGTCAAAAAGGCTTGTTCGGCATTCTTTGATTTCATAGATGCCGTGCCGTACGAAGAAAGTAAGAACCCGGTGGTGTTATAATGACCTATGCAACGTTTGCAGACTCACCCCCTGAAGGTATTCGATCCCTGAAGATATTCAAAAACATCGAGAGCAGGCAGTCAATTCGTCTCCGGGTTGAGTTTCAATTAAATCCTTGCGTAACATGAAAGCATGCCCGCTGAAAAATCAAACATAAGATCACTGAAATGGCTAATATACACTCTGTCACGGAATCGTTACTCGTCAATCCAATGCAACCAAAACCAAAACCATATCCGTCTATATAAGACCTCAAAACGCCTCGCCACAGAAAAAAGTATAGTAAAAAGACATTATAGTGTAGGCGCCCTCTTGAGACCAACACAGTATCGCACAAACAAAGTATCAATAAAATGTCCGTGCCGAATTCCAGGTGGTCGTTGCCTTTCAAACTCATCAATGGCTTCCTGGACGCTGAAGCCCAGTCGTTCAATCAAGTAGCTGACTATTAAGAAGCCGGTCCGATTAAACCCATAGTGACAGTGCACCCCAACCACAGGCCTAGGACCGTCAGGGTTACCGGACTTCTTCATCTTCTCGGTGATCTCGTTCTGAAGCCCATCTACCAACGCGATAAAATCCCGGACTTCGTCAGCTGTTGGCGGGATCTTCGATACTGTGGGGTGCTTCTGGTAATGGATGCCTCCCTTTTCCAGAGAGGCAGGATTATATACCGGGTTCTCGTAGCTGATGTCAATGACCGCGTAAATTTGGTCGCGGTACTTCTGCGAGAACAGCACAGGATTATGCTCTTCATCCACCTCTCTCAGCATCTTAAGCGCGACAAAGGTGTTTGCAATTCGTTGAGACACTGGTGGGACTTTCTTCCACTTGGCGAGGTTTTTAACATCCCACTTGCCAGAGGTGTTCATGTACTGCAACTGCCATCCGAGACTCAGGCGTTCGTCAATGTGTTGCGAAAGAAAATCTTGGATGATCCCCGCCAGGGTGCGATATGTCGCACGATCATAAAGAAGAGCATGAGAAGCTGGCGCGGGAAGAATGACTGTCTTGACAGCACGTTTCTTTTCACTCGAGGATCGAGGATTATTGATTAGTGTCTTCTCACTTGTTTGTGATTCGAGACCATATTCCCCTTCATGTGCAAAACGATCATACGCCGCTGAAACAGTATCATGAGTTTCGGACGCATCGGGGATAATGGCGCTTCCATCAGCTCCTACATCGGCATGGGGTCCAACCTCACCGAAGAATTTGAGAAGCTTTTGGAGTTCCGCAGGCTTAGTTACCGCATCAGACTCCCCGGCAACAAGGAGGACAGATGTCTTGACTCCTGCCCAGACTTTTTCTCCTGGAATACCTCCAATCGCCTTGCCGTCCTTAGTATAGGTGGGGAGCGTTCCCCAGGCCATACGCCTCCAAACAGGAGTCTTGCTTTGTTTGTTGTAGCGCACCTGGAGCTCCCTTGTATCGGGGTCCGCATCGGTGCCGACTAATCGGTTGACACTTGCACTGTGAAGACCGCCACGTCGGTCCCAATAGCGCCACATATCAAAGATACTTTCGGGAATTCTGAGAAGGCGGCGGTACGACGCGACTTCATCAGGGGTTGGAGGAGATGCGCGAGGACAAATAGCGACGAGCCCTAAGATATGCTCCTTCAGCTCTGACCCAACCGATGATGCGGATGATGCCAATAAAGCGGAAAGGGAGCACCCCAAGCTATGACCAATCAAAACGACCTTCTGGCCCGCCTCCCGGTCGCGATGTTGTTCAATGGCTGTGAACAGTAGTTCCGCCAACGATTCGACAGTATAAGCGTCCCAATCCGTGGGAGCAAATGTCGATAGTCCGCACCCAGGCAGGTCAATCCCAAAACACGGACCAACGTTAGCTAAACTCGTTAGTAAAAGACTGAACTGAGCCAACGAGCCGCCTAAGCCATGAACGAAAACTAGTAATGGTATTGGTGTAGGCTTGGTTGGAAGTTTGTCCATATGTGGATGTGGACAGAAGAACGTTCTGATCGATGGATAGGTGGCGATGGATGTCGAATAAGAGAGGTAGGAAGAACGCTTCTTCAAAAGACCTGGATCTGTGGCGACAGCTTTATGTATTGTCAGCAGGGAACATTACCATAAATGGTGAGTGACAACAAACCGTCCGCTGACTGCTCGTGGTGTTTGTGCGTCACCTTTTCCTGAGGCAAAGCAGCGTCCGTGCCATGATGGAGTGAGCCACTGCTGTCATAATCCTCCTCTTCAGAAGAAGTGGTGGTCCCTGGGGATGTTTTCGAGTCATCATCCTGAATTCCGCGGCGGAAGCGCTTTCGGCCAGAGGGCCGCTTGGAGCCCCTGTGTCGCAGCAACGATGAAAGGAAACCGCAGCCGGCCATTGTGATAATACAAGTGGTCAAGAAAGCAACCTTGCCCCAAGTCAATGTTCCATCCTGATCAAGGATTTGAAAGTTGCGAGTAAAAGAAAGGCGGGCTGTGGGATCCGAGAAAGCAGCGCAGACCGACTCCCAGAGCTGTAGAGCAGCGCCAGTATTCGAGAGACCCGGATGGGAGGGGGTTGAGGACAAAGAAGCACCAATAGAGCCCATAGCGAGGGAGAAGTGCACGACAGCTATAAATATACCTTGGATCAGAAGCGCTGGCGATCGGGCCCAGATGCGAGAGTCCAGAGATCCCCCTGCCCTTGGGGGCTCATGCGGTCATTCACCGACCTTCAAAGGCCCACAGTTACTCAGAACCAGCCACAAAGCCGCTCAAAACGGGGCTCCCAGCTAACTGGAAAGACGTGGATGTGTTCTGGAATGCGATTTGGACGTCAAGAAGACGAGTATGGATCCTCCTTGGCGAATAGCCACTTGATGGGTCAATAATGAGGCGACGAGGCGGTCGATCAGGAGGATTTACGATGGAGCAGGAAGGATGGGACCGATCTATGTGCCTTGAATGTCGCAAACAAGAACCATGAGGCAAGGGAAGTGGAGAGCCCCGGCGTTACCCCAAAGCGAGGGCGTTTGAGGAATTGACCAATGATCGCCGAAATTCCAACACGTTGACCTTTTAAAGTGTCCTTAGACGCACCGCGGCACCGGAAGGATATGACACCTCCACCGTTTGAGCTACGGATCTCCTGAACTGCCCCAAGATCCGGAACTTTGCTTGCCTTCAACTTGATATCTCGGTGCGAATTTAGAACAGAGGGCGCGGACCGATTTTAAGGTATACCAGGTAGTTATCAAAGTGCCATGTATCCAATCTTATTGTCCTTCTTGTGTATACTAGAAATCCTGAATAGAGTGTCAGTACAGTAACAATCGGCGTAGATTGACGCATAATATTGATACAGCATTAATGTGACGGATGACAAAGTTTTGCGACGAAAATTGCAACATACCTCAGCGACTACGTAAAGGACTCGATGCAGGCATACATGTATGCTTCTTGATTTGCCAGAGAGATAGTCCAGACTCCTTGCTTGTCCGGAATGCCGGAAATTCGATGTATGGAATAATGATTGCCAGTGTGTCACCGAAATTACAACGAGGCCCGGATGACTGCAGAATGTTTAGCCTGTCAGAGGGTCGGGACGAGGACCGTGGCGGTCAGAAAGGCGGCGGATGAATCATCCACTCTTCCGCCCATTCATGGCGTCAGCCTGCAGCCCGTGGCGGCACTAGTGGACTAGCAGCGATAGTAGTGCTTTGAGCTTCCCCTTGATAATCTAGACTGGGTCATCTATCTACATTGGAGGTAGAAAGCATGCTCTTGAATCGCGATCATGATTTGGTCAATGTATCAGGAGTCACGAGAGCAGGAGCTCAGGAGTTGCCACAACTTAGAGTCAGGAGAAAGTGAGATTCCCGTTACCTAACACAGACCATTTCAGAATACGTATATGAACGACTGTGCTTGTTGCAAGCATCGCAAATGGCTGGAGCATTACATTAGGCTTTCATCAATCATGAAAATATCTTCTCGGCTTAAGTTGAGATTGTTTCTGAATGGCTGAAAGCTGAATGTTCCAGAACACAGTACGCAGCCTAGGGAGCACCTAGAACAGATCCGTCATTGCACCATGAGAGGCGTCCCCAACCAACCTGGCATACTTGGCGAGCACACCACGTGTGACATGAGGCACTGGGGCCTTCCACTCTTTCAGTCGCTGCTGGATTTCCTCATCTGAGACATGCATGTTGATTGTGTTGGTTTCCGCGTCGATAGTAATCACATCGTCATCGCGGACAATGGCAATGGGGCCTCCGGCCGCAGCTTCGGGGACGATATGACCCACGA